TAGATACATAGATGATGGATAGATGATAGATAGGTATATGATAGATAAATACATGATAGATAGATAGATAGGTACAGAGATGATGGATAGATAGAGATAGATAGATGATAGACGATAGATATATAGATAGATGATATATATATAGATGTATGATACATAGTTGATAGATAGATGTTAGATAGATAGATAGGTCATAGATATAAATGGATAAATGATAGCTAGGTAATAGATGATAGGTAGATTGAATGTTTGATAGATAAATAGATGATAGATAGATATGTAGATGATAGATAGATCATAGATAGATGTTAGATATATAATAGATAGGTATATAGATAGATGATAGAGATAGATACATATATGATAGATGATAGACAGATAGTGATACATATATAATAGATGATAGATAGATAGATAGATGATAGATAGAGATGGATAGATGGATGGTAAGTAGATGATAGGTACATAGATAGATGATAGAGATAGATAGATGATATAGATAGATAGATAGATGGTACATAGGTGATATATGATAGATAGATAGATAGATAGATAGATAGTAGATAGATGTTAAATAGATCATAGATAGATAGATCGTAGATATATGGATAGATACATAGATAATAGATAGAAGATAGTTTGAATGATTGATAAATAGATTATAGATTTATAGATGATAGATAGATAGATGATAGTTAGATAGATAGATGATAGATAGTTGATAGACACGTACTTAGATAGATGATAGATAGATAGAGATACATATATAATAAATTGATGACAGATGATAGATAGATAGATAATACACAAAGAGTGATAGATAGATGGATGATTGATAGAAAGTAGATAGGTACATAGATGATAGATAGGTAAATAGATAAATGATAGAGATAGATAGATGATAGATAGGTGATAGATATATAGAATAAGATATACATACATACATACATAGATGGATACATAGATGATAGGTAGATAGGGTGAAAAGAAGGTATGTTGAAAGACAGGGTATGAAATGAGGCAGAGGAAGAAGGGAGAGAGCAAAAAGAGTAATAAGGGGAAATAGATAAAATGATATGTATACCAAGGAAGAGTCAAGAATTGCTACTGCAAATTATATAAAAATCTAGAAAGATCAAAGTAAGTTCTATGAAGAAGGAAACAATGAAATAAATATAGGACTGAAAAGAGGGAAAAATGAAAGTGAAGGATAAAGGGAGGTGAGAAATGTACAGGGGAGGATTAAGCAAGTTTTACAAGGGAAGCAGAAAAGAAGAGCTCTTTTAAATGGTAATAGTGCACACATACACACACACACACCACACCACACACAGATGCACACATTCATACACACACACCACACCACACACTCACGCACACATTCACACACACACACACACACACACACACACACACACACACACACACACACACACACACACGAGTTTGAAGAGGCACAATGAGCAAGAGGAGATGAGACAGAGAATGCCATTTTTACAGATGAGCCATTAAGAAGCTCCTAACACAGTTCAGCGACAAAGTGTGGCCTTCTGCCTCAGATGCTAGGCTACGTTAGTGACATTTGTCCCTCTGTTCAGAACTACTAATGGCTGCTTCTGGCAGAAAGATTTCGAGTACACAGTCCTCTCAAAAAGACACAATAGTGGGCCTGTAATCACTTCTCTGGGGGCTAAGGCAGGAGGATCATTAGTTCAAGGCTTGCCTGAGCAACACAGGACAAGATCAGAATCGGCAGCTCCTCTGCTTCTTAAGCTTCTGTTACAAACCCAAAGAGAGCCCATGACATTGCTACTGAGCTGGAGGCATTCCCAGAAAGCCTGGAGCCAAAATTTTATTTTAAGTATGATAACTAGAAAATAGAAATTTGTAGGCATACTCGATTTTGTCATGATACCTGCTGCTTATGATGCAAATAAATCTTCTGTGTTTAGCCATCATGTGGTGCATTGCATATATTCCTTATATAAATAAACCATGCCACATGATCTACTGATTAAATCATTGGATTTAAGTCCCTCATTACTCAGTTGTAGTATTCTCTCCACACTGATGAGTGAGCTAGCCCACTTTGTGTAGCTGACATCTCTCCAGTGTGGTTCACAACACTGACTCTTCCCCCACAGGCTCCGCTAGTGACCTCATCTCTGTACTTTGCCTTACCAGTGAGATCCTGAGCAGACCTTAGCCTGTTTGTCTGCTTCTACTAGCCCTTGCTCAGCCTCTCTGCCTCCTCCTTTTTCTGCTTAGTGAGCTACCCATCCAGATTACTGACTAGGGGTTCGATGGGAAGATCTGCATCCTGTAGCCCTATTAACATCCTGAGGGTCAAGGCCAGTGCCAATGTGCTTTCTTAATCTCCTCCTCCCTTTGGTCTTGGGCCATGTAGACCTACCGTAATATATCATGCAACTGGGAACAGATATATTTTATTGGCCAGGTGAATTTGTCCAACACAAGTTTTCTACACTGTTGTTATCTTGGGCCTTTTGGAAAAGCACCACTGAGTAGGAGTTGTCATTTTAATATCTGACATTTTATCATTTTGTCATCTCCACTGTTAAAAACAAATGTCTTTTTTTTTTAAAGCCTCGTCAATAACGCAAAAAAGATCAAGTTTCACTGAGGAGAACACGTCTCCAGAACATCCAGAACAAAAATGTAACTGATACGTTATGGCTGAAAATTAGTAATTTAGTGGGAATACTAGATTGGGTAATGATGTGCAGAGAAATCCTCTATCCTCTTCCATCAACTGGTGTCTTGTGAACACTCATGCACGACTGTCACCATCCTCACTCTCCAGGACAGACGCCCTGATTGCTCAGTGATGCTCTCTCCACACTCCTAGAGCAGGGTGCACCACTTTTTGCACCTGACAGCTCTCTAAACCCAATTCCAAACCCTGCTTTCTCGTGACTCCCACTACTGAACGTGTCTCTGGACTGTTCTACTGCCAGTAAGAACCTGAGGCAGCTCTTCGGTGTGTGCCTGTGTCGATGGCATCCCTCTGCCTCTGATCACTTTGTTTCACCTGGAGAACTGTCTTTCCAGATTACTCCATAGAGGTTCTCCGCATGCATCTGAAGCCGGTGTCCCTGTGAACTTAAGGACCGAGACCACTGCCAGTGTGCTTTCTAGTCCTAACCTTCCCTTGTCAGTGAGCCTTCGAGACACACAGTAAAATGTCACCGGCAGCAGAAATATTTCATTCACCACATACCTTTAGCACAGTGTTTCTCACTACTGTTCCCCTGCTTCTTTTGGGAAGGCACAATTGAATAGTAGTTATTTTAACATTTGTTATTCTATCATTTTGTCTCTGCCACTGTTAAAAATTAATGTTCTTTTTTTATAGCATCTATATCAAGTTTAAGGACAAGTATCTCTGACGAAAAACTATTACAAGAATCATGGATGTCTGAACAAAGACTGTTGGCAGAATCAAGAGAGTCAAAATGTAACTATTGTGTTGTGATTTGAATTGAATAATTTTTGAGACCTGGCAATGATCACTCCCGCTTCACATGCAGATGAGCCCGCTGTTCCCATCTATCAAATGATGCCCGGGGATAGTGTTTACCAGTGGCACTGCCACCTATATGGCCATCTAGAATAGACTCCGGAACTACTCAGTTCATGTGGTTTCTCCTCATTCCCATGAGCAGCAAGGCCCATTCTATGCAGCTGCCTCCTCTTCCAGCCCAGTTCAGAATCCTCGAAGCCCCTGTTACTGAGCTTGCTTCTATAACTTTCCTTATTGAGAAGATCCTGAGGCAGATTTCCAGACATGCCTCTGCTGCTGCCACCCTGTCCTCTAGCAGCTCTGCCTCCCAAGGAGGTTTTGACCTTCAGGTCTCTTGCTCTGTCTCCACAAACCGCAGTGCAGGGTGTTGAATGGAAGCTCTGATACTGCTTAACTTAGGACGACTAAAGGGTGTGGTCTCGTGAGACTAGCCAACACCAAGAGTCCTGCCAATGTGCGTTCTCAATCCTACCCTCCCTTCGGCTTTGGGCTCTTGAGACCTCTAGTAACATATCTTGTCACTTGGTGTAGGCACACTTTATTCACCACATTCATTTCTGCGTGAATAGAACGTTGCCCACTCTTGTTTTCCTGGTCCTTTTAGAAAAAAACACAACTGAGTAGTAGTCAGCGATCCTTTTAATATTTGTGATTTTTCTAATTTGTCATCTCCATTGCTAAAACTAACTATCTTTTTTTTTAAAGCTACCTCACAAGCGACAAAACCCAGTTTTGACGAAGAGAAATCTTCATTTTATGAACTTCTGGAGACAAAATGTAATTGAAATTTTATGATTAGAAATTAATAATTTGTGGGAATACCGCACATAATGCAGAAATCTTCCATCCCTTCCCATCAAACGGTGCCTTGGGGGTAATGCTTAGGAACTGTGTCACCTTCTCCACTGCCCCCTGAATAAATGCCAGTTAGTGATGCTCTCTCCACATTCCCAGAAGAGGGGACACCACCTTTTGCAACTGGGAAATCTCCAAACCCCAATGAGAACCCTGGCTTTCTCATGGCTCCCACTACTGAACGTGTCTCTGGACTGTTCTACTGCCAGTGAGAACCTGAGGCAGCTCTTCGGTGTATGCCTGTGTCGATGGCATCCCTCTGCCTCTGACCCCTTTGTTTCACCTGGAGAACTGTCTTTCCAGATTACTCCATAGAGGTTCTCCTCATGCATCTGAAGCCTGTGTCCCTGTGAACTTAAGGACCGAGACCACTGCCAGTGTGCTTTCTAGTCCTAACCTTCCCTTGTCATTGAGCCTTTGAGACACACAGTAACATGTCACTGGCAGCAGAAATATTTCATTTGTCATTTATATGCCAGCATCATAGAATGGTCCCCTTGTTCTTTTAGGTAGGCCCAATTGAGTTGTTACTGTCATTTTAATTTGCCATGTTATCATTTCTTCTTGTCCACTGTTAATAACGAATGCTTCCCCTTTTAAGTTTCTCCAACAGGTACAAGAAGATCGAGTTTGCCTGATGAGCAAATACTTCACGAATTTATGGAAACTAAACGTAATTGAAATTTTATCATTAGAAATTAATAATGTGTGGGAGTTCTGGATTTGGTAATGTAAAGATCTTCTCTGACTATAATGTAGAAAAATCCTCTATCCTCATGCAAAATGGGGTATTTGGGGGTACTGCTTACTAAGACTGGCAATACTCTGTCACCCTCTGAGTTAGACTCCCTAATTACTCACTTGGTGCTGATGCCACCATGCTCCAGAGTAAAATCGGTCTTGTCTTGTGGGTGACAATTCTCCAAGCCCGTTTAATAACCCTGACATTCCCAATAGTCCTTGCTGTAGAACTGTCTCTGTGCTTCTCTATCACCAGTGTGATTCTGAGGCAGACCTTCAGCCTGTGCCTCTGCTGCAGCCACACTTTGCTCAGCAGCTCTGCTTCCCAAGCAGATTTTACCCCAAACCCCAGTCTTCTCCTCAGGTGCATCCTACCTGTGGCCAGGGATAGTTATGCATGCTGCCCATTACAAAATTAGAAACTTACTTTAAATCATTAAAAGTTTTTTTGCGATATTGTTCATTACACAATTCTGCATTTCTCAAGTATGAATACTGCAGATAACAGCAATGTGACATGATATCGGAGGGTTGGGCACAGCTGCCTGCACAACTGTCCTTTCATGTTGCTGAACAGATACTCTTCTGATACTTGTGCAACTTGCAGCCTTACAACTTGTCACGTGACATCACATGCAGCAGAAATGGTTTAATTGCAACATGGGTTTGTGCAACATTAGGGTGTTTCCCCACTCTTATTTTCCATTTCAGAAAATCTTGGTTAGTAGCTATGGCTTTAATATTGGTCACTTTATTCCATCACCTCCTTTTGCATGGATTCTAACAGCTCCTTTGGGGGAGGGGGTGAGAAGGCACAGTGTCAATGACACAGACACTGGGAGTCAGTTGAGAGCAAAAAACGAACTCCTTTATTCAATAACAGGGAAGGCCTTATATACCCTACTCCCAGCGCCCAGTCTGTGTGGTTGTCCCTCATTGCCTGGGCATAATCAGGTTCTCTGGCATCACATCGACTCTTGCTAGGTCCTCAGACAGACTCGACCTGATCAGGAACTCTGACATCCACTAGGATCTCTGACAGCTCCTGTTGCTAGGCCCTCAGGCAGACTCTAGGTTGGCTCTTAAGGAGTACATTATGTGCATGTCTTGGCTATTGTTCTGAGCCAATTTCCTGGACCCTATGGGCTTGTCCTACTACAACCTCCACTGTTAAAAAATTTCTGTTCTTTTTTTTACAGATCATCGTCATCCCCGTGTGAAGAAAACAAGTTTTGCTGAGCAGACATTGTTTTACGAACCTACTGAGCAAAAATGTAATTGAAATGTTATGATTGAAAGTCAGTAATTGGTGGGACTATGAGAGTTTGGGAACCTCTTCTGTTAAGTGAAGAGAAAAAAAAATCTTTTGCCCTTCTCTGTCACGTGATGTTGTTTCAGTAGTACTTATGAACAATGTCACCATCTCCACTGCCTTCTGGATTAGATTCCCTAATTCCTCAGTCAGTGTTATTCTTTCCACACTCCCTAAGTAGGGAAGACCTCTCTTTGTAGTTCTAAGCCCAGTTCAAAGCCTCAAGTTTCCCAAATCCCCTGCTCCTTAACCCATCTTTGTGCTTTTCTATCACCAATGAGATTCCCGAGATTCACCTTCAGTCCATCTTTGTTACTGCCACGCCTTGAACACCACCTCTGCCTCCTGTGCAGGTTTTGCCTCAAAATGCTTTATTGTACCTTGAGAACTCCCCTTCCAGATTGTTGATTTGGGGCTCTTGTTGAGTGGAGGATCTACTAATGTTTCTGAAACCTACGACCCTAGGAACCGTAGAGGATCAAAGCCCCCGCTAATGTGCTTACTTAATATGTCCGCCCTAGGCTTTGAGGGTTGAGATCTACTGTCAGTCATTTCCAAGGTTGCAGAAATGTTATTTGTTACATATCTTTCCTGTAGTAGGAGCACGTTCCTCCACTCCTGTCCTCCTGCTCTTTTTGGAAAACCCCAGCTGACAAGTAGTCAATTACCAAGTTAATATAATGTCATTGTATGGATTTGTCAATTCCATTGTTAAAAATAGATGTCTTTTTTTTTTTAAAGATGGTCCAGCAACTACAAAAAGAGCAAGTTTTATTAACCAGAAATTCATTGGAGACCTCCTAGAAGCAAGATGTAATTGCAATTTCCTGCTTAGAAATAAGTAATTTATGGGAGTACTGGATTTGGTATTGATCTCTACTGCATACAATGCAGATAATGCTCTATCATATATCAAGTGGTATATTGGGGCAACACTTACTGACTTTGCTACCCTCTCTGTTGCCCTCTGGGTTACACTCCCTAATTACTCAATTGGTGTTGCTCTTTCCACATTCTCTGAGTGGGGAAGCTACATTTCCGGAACACAACTCTCCAACTCAATTCAGAACAATGATCTCCCACCTTCCCCATAGTCCCTGCTACTGAACATGTGTTCTACATTTTCAGTCCCAAAGAGAACCGAGACAGTTCTTGAGACTCTGCTGCTGTACCCCATGTTCAGAAGTTCTGCCTGGCAGGGAGAATTTACCTCTCTCTTGTTTTTTCTACCTGGTGGAGTTGGCTGCTATTGCTGACAAAAGGTCTAACTATACTTTTGAAGCCTGGGGCTCTGGAAACCTCACATGGCCTTAGACCCCCCAACCGGTGTCCTTTCTCAGTCCTGCCCTTCCTTTGACTTGGTGCTTTGGAGATCTACATTAACATGTCACAACACCCCTCACAGCAGAAATATTTTGTCCCATGCTTTTTCCCACTTGTGTTCCCCGAGTACTATTGGCAAAAACCCAGCGGAGGTCAGTCAGTTGTCATTTTAATATCGGTTGTTTTGTCATTTCCGGTTTTGAAATGGATGTCTTTTTCTCTTTTTCCTTTAAGATCTCTATCAAAATACCATGAAAACAAGTTTCACCGACCAAAGACTGAAGGAAGATAATTTGGAAACAAAATGTAATTGAAATAGTATGAATTAATTAATTCATGATTGGCAGTGGGCTCTTCTGCTTAAATATCCTGTTCTCATCCATGAAATGACATTTCCCATATAGTGCTTATGGAAAGAGTGACCACTTTTGTGGTCCCTTGAGTTAGTGCCCAGTCAGTCAGTCAGTGGGTGCTGCTCTCTCCACACTACTTGAGATGATAGCTCCTCCCCCTTTTTTTTTGCAGGTGACCACTCTCCAAGCCCAGTTCAAAGCAGAGCTCCCACTACTGTGGCCTTGTCTTTGTTCTTTTCCGATACTCAGTGTCTGCCTCTGCTGCTGACACCACTTTCTTAGCACCTGGACCTTTCAGGGAGGGGATCCCCTGAGTCCTTGATCCATCTGGAAACCCATCTTACCATATTACTGAACAGAGGGTCTAGTGATGTCTCTGAAGCCTGGGCCCTACAAGTCAAGAAGGCTCAAGGCCCCTGCCAGTGTGCTCTCTTCCCGCCGCCCCTCTTTTAGATAGAGCGGCATTTTCATAGCATGGGAACAGAGGTGCTTTATTTACCACATACACTCCTTCAACAACAGAGTATTCCTCGGTCTTGCTCACTAGTCATTTTAGAAAAGCCCAACATAGTAGAGGTCAGTTGTCTTTATAGTTTCTCCGATTTTCTCAAGGTGGCAATTCCACTATCAACTCAATTGTCATTGTCTTTGTGTTTGATGAAGTTTCAGACAAGAAATTGTATTATGAACCTGCCAAACTAAAGTATAATTGAAATTTTATTATTTTGTTATTAATTAAGCTGGGCGGTGGTGGCCCATGCCTTTAATCCCAGCACTTGTGAGACAGAGCCAGGTGGATCTCTGAGTTTGAGGCCAGACTGCTCTACAGAATGAGATCCAGGACAGGCACCAAAATTACATGGAGAAACCCTGTCTCAAAAAACCAAAAAAAAAAAAAAAGTTAGTAATTAGTGAGCATACTGGATTTGGTAATGAGCTCTTCCACTAATAATGCAGAAAAGGCCTCTAGCCTCTCTCATGAAAAATGTATTTGGTGCAATGCTTACCAATGTTCACACCCTCCCTGACATCCTCTGATTATTTGATTGGTGCCCCTCTTCCCATATTCTCTTGAGCGGGGTATGCCACTTCTCCCAGTAGACAATTCTCCAAGCCCAGTTCAGAACAGTGCCTTTCTGAAAAGCCAATGTCTGCTGGTGCCCCCACTAGCTCTTGCCTTTCCACTCTGTTTCCCGGGGAGGTTTTAACCCCATCTCTTTTTGGTCCCCCTGGAAAACTCTCCTTACAGGTTGCTGACAGAGTGTCTCCTGATGCTTCTGGAAGCCTGTGGCAATATGACTGAAGCAATAACCAAGACCTCTGCTTACGTGCTTTCTCAATCCCATCCTACCTTAGCTTTGTGCTTTTTTGTTACTGAGAATAAAAATATTTGACGAGCCACATATATTTCAACAGCACCAGAGTTTTCTCCGCTCCTTTTCCCTGGTATCTTTTGAAAAATCCAACAGTAGCAGTCTGTCACCCTTTGAATATCTGTTATTTTATCATTTTGTCATTTTCACTGTAAAAATTAAATGTCCTTTTGATTTTGTTTAAGCAGCTCTACCCAATGTAAAGAAAACAAGTTTTGATGAAGATAGATCATTTCAACAACTCATGGATGCAATAAGTAATTGAAATTTTATTATTCTAAATTAGCAATGTGTGGGAATACTGGATTTGGTGAAGATCTCTTCTGCTTATGATACAAAATAATCCTCTCTCTAATTCAGTTGCATGATCTAATTTGTGTGACGTTTTGAAAAGCGTCACTGTCCTTATTGCCGCCTGGATTAGACACCCTGATCCTCAGTTGGTGTTGCTCTCTTCACTCTCCCCCAGCAGACCAGACCACTCACTCTGTGCAGCTCACAACTCTCCAGACCAGTGGCTTTCCCAAGCCACTGTCTCTGAACATATCTCTGGACCTTCCGACTCGTAAAGGATCCAGAGGCAGTTCTTCAGTCTAGGCCTCTGGGGATGCCATCTATGATGCTGCCACCCACCAAGTTGCTCCATCACTGTGTCTGCAGGGAAGCGGGATGGCCTCTGTGTCCTTTGTTCCACTTGCATAAGCATCCTTCTTTAGTACTGAATGAAGGATGTACTGAAGTCTTTGAAGCCTCTGGCCCTATGATCCTAAGAAGGACCAAGAGTCCTGCCAACGTGCTTTCTGGATCTTGCGCTTCTTCCTTTGGCTTTGCGTTTTGAGACGTACAGTAGTAAGTCACATCACTGGCAGCCTAATGCTTTATGCACAGATATTTCTAAAGCTGTGGATTATTCTCTACTCTTATTCCCTGGTCTTATTCTAAAAGCCTGAGTAGCAATCAGTCACCATTTTTAGTATTTGTTATTGTATATTTGCCATGACCATTGTTAAAAATAAATCTCTCTCTCTTTTTTAAAGCACCTCCACAGTACATAAAGAAAACAAGTTTCGCTGACCAAAAATCATCTCAAGAATCTCTGGGATCCAAACGTAATTGAAATTTTATGGTTTGAAATTAATTTGTGGGAATTCTGGATTTAGGGATGACGTCCTCTGTGTATTGCACAGGATGGTGGTGTCATTTTGACATTTCTGCCTATTTCTTATGTTGACTGTGGAACACACATAGGACCAGTACCATGTATTACATGTAGTCTTTCTTTTTATTGCTGCATTAGTCACCAAGTTTCCTAACAATAGTCCACGAGATTCTATCATTGTGGAGCCTCCCTAAATGCCTCAGACCTTCATGGAGTCTCCCTGTTGTCCTGCTTCTTCCCCAAAGTTGTTCTCTGGATACGAGAAGCATGGCTTTTATTCTTACTCATCTATGTATCAGCCACACTGACCCAGGAAGCAACTGTAGCCACAGATTCCCAGCCCCCATCACACCCTACTAAATTTCAACAGGCTATCCACATGCTTCACATGCACATTAAAATTAAGGCAACACTGGATTCCATGTTCCCAGGGAAGCAGAATAGGTTATTTGGATGAAACATCCTCTGCCTTTCCAGAGGATGTCCTTCCTTATTGCCACTCTGAATGTCTTCAGCCTGTTGAAATTAACAGTTGAAGGCTGCTACCAGCTCATAATTTATACTCTTATCTCCCTAGTTTGAGTGGAGCCTTCTAATGTTCCCTTTTCTATACCCTGACAATTCTGGTTAGGTGCTGCATAATACTCGAGGTAGACCACTCTGACTTAGAGGCGTTCAGTCGTAATCCCACAGATGGTAGCTTCGCCCCATTGGCTCCTCAGCCAAGCACATACACCAAATGTCTGAACCTGCGGTTCCTCTCGTACTGAGCAGGATTACCATGGCAACAACACTCCAGATAGTACCATCAGTACTAGTTAGAGTCTTAGATCTTTCTAGACATGGCTATACCATGTCTAGAAATGTCTAGAACTAAGAATGGCATAGGAAATAACACTCTAGAAAGATTGCCTGTGCTCAGCCACACTGTACAGCTAGGTTGTTGAGCCATGCCTTGGGTAACAAGGAGTCAAGGGTAGGGATGACCTAAGAGATCTTGTTCTAGAATCTTAAACAGATGGTGGAGCAGTAGTAGTCCCTCTTGTCTGCTCTCCACATTAACCAAGGTTCAGAATAAGCCACGGGAGAAGCCAAACTGATACCTTTACTCTCCCCTTTCTCACCACCCTTCAACTTTCTCACCACTTCTGTGCTGTTAATGGAGTGACATTTCACTAATAATTTTCCCTGAGTTATAGCTCCCTTCTTTTCTGTCCACGATAACTCTTAATGGTGAACAAACATATCTCCAGTACACTGCATGTTAGTCATCTTTCTGAGTCTATGACAAAATACCTGAGATAAGTCACTTAAAAAGAGAACAGAATTATTTGAGAAAATCACCTGTAAAAGGAAAGATTTCGTCTGGTTCATAGCTTTAGAGGTTGCCGTTCATGAACATTTGGACCTGCTTCTTTGAGCTTGTGGCAAGGTAGTACAACATGGTGGGTAGGGAGGAGGAACCTGTTCTCCTCATACCAGACAGGAAGCAAAGACAGGGAATGGGGTCCAGCATCTCATACACCCTTCAAGGACATGCTTTCCTCCAGCTCATTCCCACCTCCTTTAGTCTTCACCACTCCAGATAGTACCATCAACTGATGATCAAGTCTTATGCGTTTGAGTCTTGAGGTCAATTTAAGATCCAAACCACAGGGCTGGGGAGGATGACTTGGCCATTAAGAGTACTCACTGCTCTCAGGAAACCTGTGTTATTTCTCTGCACCCACATGGCAGCTCACAACCATCTGTAACTCCAGTTCCAGATGACCTGGCATCCTCTCTGGTCTTTGCAGACTCTGAGTATGGTGCACTTACATACATGCAGGCAAAACACTCATACACATAAATAAAATATTTTTTAAAAAATCGTCAAATCAACAATACTATATGAGAAATTTCTGAGCCAAGTAGTCCTTGCTGCTACATAAGGAAAACAAAATTTAGGGTAATTCTAAAGACACTTACATAACTTGCAAGGAATCACTACTGTCTTCCTATTTTGGGGTGACATGTGCTGAATGTTACCTTGGTATCTATAATGGCATTTCTCATGGCACAAATTCTAAATTCTAATCTTCCTAACTCATACTCTACCTCCAAACAGTATATATATATATATATATATGAGACTAGGACAGTGTCCTTACAGCATCAAAACTGAGAGAACATTATTTTGAAACAGTTCTGTTGTACAATGGCTGCTTCATGTCAATGAAGCATCAGACGCAAGCCCAGGAAAACAGGAGAAGCCAGATCTCCATATTGAAAGCACACTCATGGTAGGAAGATGCAAATTATAGAAAATACACAGTAAATTTTTCAATAACCCAATAAGATAGGAAAAGGCATAAACAGATTTTATGAAGAAAACATACAGGAGGCAAATAAGCACATAAATATTGTTCAACATATTTAGTCATTAAAAAAACTCAAATTACACAATGAGATCATTACATGCTCAGTAAAATGGTAAAATTTAACTAACACCAGGTAGGCCTAGCAAGATGACCTGAGTTCTTTTTTTTTGCAATACAATTCAATTCTACATATCAGCCACGGATTCCCTTGTTCTACCCCCTCCCGCCCCCCCTCACCTTCCCCCCAGCCCACCCCCCATTCCCACCTCCTCCAGGGCAAAGCCTCCCCCCACGGACTGAGATCAACCTGGTAGACTCAGTCCAGGTAGGTCCAGTCCCCTCCTCCCAGGTCGAGCCAAGCGATCCTGCATAAGCCCCAGGTTTCAAACA